TCTGCAGGTTGCATTTATACAGGTAAGATTATTTTGTAGACTTGCGCGCGTTTAAGTAAAAATTATTTAATTTTCACATGGCTTAATTTATCAAGAAGTTAAACTTTTTATATTATAAGTACTAATCCTTATAATAAGGTTTAGTATCTTTTGTAAAATTATTTATAGTAATTATAAATATAAGAAATAGATTGTTTAATTTACTTTAATAATGAGTGGAAAGCTGAATCTTGGTTGTCTTGGTTGCATTTTTTTTTCTCCACTCCCCAACCATGGCAGCCGTTCTGGTCCACAAATTTAAAAAGGAATTATTTATAAAAAGAGAATAGCGAAACTGAGCTATCCCGGTACCTCTCTACGAAATCCAGTTAATGAGATCCACGAGTTGCATGCAGTCAATAAAATAGTCTGCCATCATATTCCCATCATAAACACTGAATTCTCTTTAAAAAAATTGTAGACTACTCTCACTGTAAAATTTTGGAAAATATCAATGCAATCAAGAAAAAAATAGCTGACGAACAATAAAGGGCGGCTCAGCGTCGTCATTAAAGTGTAAAGAGCCTCCAGTGTCTCTGTCTTCACATCATAATAATTTAATTCTGGCTGTATTTGATTGGATACAAAAAAATAAATTATAAGGGATTGTTTTAATAGCTACCAATTTTATACGGTATAAACTGGGTTGAAATAGTTAATTCTATTTCATCCACCGTTAAATTAACCCGTTAATAAACATGTAACATAATTTCATGTTTAGAACTGAATCACCTTAACCTTCAACCGAATTTGGACCAAAAACCATTTTTGACAAAGAAAAGCTCTTATAAGGAATAAAATACCCAGGTATATTATTTATAAATTGTTGTAGAAAAAAATATTTACAAGTTCTAAAGTTCCTTCGAGAGAAAGGACTAAGAAAGAAGTGCATAAATTAAAAAAATCTGAAACGATGCTTCAGGATCATGAAACAAACTTAAGACTTCAGTCAAATTTTCAACCACCTATAAAATATTTATCGTGGAATTTATTTCTAAATTTGCAGATAAGAACACCCTTGTTGGTCTGATTGACTTGTACAACGTTTTATTATAAAATAAAGATTTTGACTTAAGCTTTAGATGTTTCATATCCGGCGCGGGACATTTGACATATTTTGAAGATCTTCCCAACAGCTACTTCTTATTTTAAACATCTTTCTTTCTTGATGTACATGTATTTTCAAATTCTAAATCTTCTTTGGGGTATCGAAAATAAAGTACCAGTCCCTCTTAATCCCTTATTAATAGTGATAAAGAATCAGAATAATGATTTATTGATTGATTGTATATTGTTTCACGTCCCATTCGAGAATTTTCACTCATACAGAGACGCACTGAATGCCGGTGAAGAGATTCAAATTAAGACCTATACTCGGCACTCAGGGCCATTCTTTTCAAACCTACACCTACCATTAGACGGGACCTACATTTTTAAGGTCATATGCGAAAGACCCGGGACTTTCACTTCTAGTGCCGAGTACTTGACGAAGGAACAGTCACTACCTGTTTTACGTCCCGTTCAAGAAGGCTCTGCCACTAAACCAGTAAGAATCAGAATAAAAATCTGAAGACAGAATGTGTTAATAAAAGTGAATAAGAAATAATTTAGTAATTGAAAGGACTTCCGTCTTCAGACTCAAAACTTAACCCTTGACCACTGAATAGTACGTACAAACAACAACAAAAATTTTTTTTTACTTGATTCTTAAAATTACCTTGTCTATCTTTACAACCGTGTTAGTTCCCTTACCCCATTTAACCTTATTCCCTTACTACACACATAAACGGGGTCTTAACGAGACAATCCAAAAAGGCTTAGAATGGCGAAAGGTGTAGTTAAAATTAGCAAATTATTTTATTTTTTAAAAAATCCTGGTCTTGTACGTTGAACAAAAGGGGGGGGGGGGGTGTCGCACGTGAAACTGCATATCTTATATTTTGTTAACATGTGGGTTGAATAATGTTCAGGTTGACACATTCTAGTGCTAATTCATCATTGAAAGTGTTTCGGTCTATATCTCAATAGATATGGACTACCATCAGTAAAGGCCAACTTACAGGATTCATTTAGATTTAACATTTTGCATGACTATTTGTTGTCGTATCCAAACTTGCTACTGTTTTGTAAAGTGTTTTGGAATTTATGTTAACAAAAGGTTTCTTTATTTTGTAATAATTTACAGTACATGAACATCAATTCTGAGCTAGAGTAACATAAAAAATTAAACACTTGGTTTTGACATTCAATACATGTGTATCATGTGTATTCTGAAAAAAATCCAGAAATTGAAGAAATATGAAATCAATGATTTGAATTCTAAATAATTCAGTCATCGTAGTAGTAGTAGCCATACTAGTAGTAGTGGTAGTCGTCGTCTTCGTTGTCCTAGTAGTAGTAGTAGTAGTAGTAGAAGTAGTAGTAGCCGTCCTAGTAGTAGTAGTAGTAGTAGTAGTAGCCG